CAAACATAGCACCCATTCAAAAATTCCAGAACAAAGTACTTCGGAACATCATGGATGCTCTATTTTTCATCAGAAACAAATCGGCACAGAGACACAACAATTTATTAACGATTAAAGAAGAAACCAGGAGATTTGCTCAAAAGCACGAAGCGAGGCTTCACAATCATGACAAAAACTTTAGATCTAAGTGAAAGTGTTTCAAGCAGAGCACAGTTTTAAGTGAAAGTTCATAGCCGTGACCTGTGAAACACCATCAAGTTATATTTTAGTTTTGAACATTTTTCAGATAGATTAGTTTAAGAGGAAATAGCTGATTGGTCCCTGTAGAACAGTAGTAATATTGCAAATCAATTATATTATGTGTTGCTAGATGAAAATATATTTAATTGAAAAATACTAATCTAATCACGTTTTGTGCACGTCAAATTGTTAGAGCTTTCCTTGTATATAAAACACTTTAGCCAAGAAGTTGCCGTTTGTTATTCTTAACTGGAATATTGTTCGTTGTAATACAGACATTTCTTGAAAACGTTGCCAAGTTCCTTTGTAACAGAACTATTTGGCGAGAGCTTATCTCTCCATATCCAAGAAAAGACTTCGAAAGGTACTTCAACCTCCTTTGTATTTACAGAGCAGAAATATTTTTAATCTAAATGGAAATGATCTCGTATATCCTGGAGATTTTTAAAATTGACTTTTCTTACACTTATATAACTAAATTTTCATTCTTTGAATACTGGAAAATTATGTAAAATGTGATTGTGTACGAGGAGTTTTGTTTACATATTATATAATCATACCTAATTTATGCCATCACGTTTAAAATTATAAAGCCATAAAGTACTTTTTATTTATAAATATCTACTTATTTATTCCGTATTCTCCCAAATTATCACTTATTTTTTCTTTTTCTTCAATAATTCATCACCTATTGGTCACACACATGTTTGAATAATTTTTATTGTTCTATTTATTTATACATTTTTTAGTGAACATTGTTCTTTTAGGAATGGAATTTTCTTCGCTTTTGCTACTGGTTATTATTATTCAAGAATGTGTCAATTCGTAAAGATTTAACTGGAATCTGTCTTAAGTCTACTTCCTTTCTATGCATATATTGTGCTCTTCTAGCGCAAATTTAATATTTTCATTTGGTTTAATATTAGTTCTTTCATTTTTTGTTAAATTTCGTACAGGACAAAATTTGGATTCTTTGATAGAATTTAATTCCGTCTATTTTCTGCAATATTAAACTTTTCCCTTGTTTAGCCATACCTTGAAGTAAGTGCCATTGAACTTAGACTTGTTACTTTGTTTTTGTTTAATTTAGTTCATAACACTCAATAATTATTACTCTCATTAGCACTGTTTGTTTTTTGTTCAAATCGCTCCTAAATTATGATTCTCGTTAGCAATGAAAGTAGAACATACGTTTTAAACACATCATTAAATTATTTTCATAAAATAATGAATAACCCAGAGAAAACTGATTTTAATAATTGAAAGTAAATTAACTGAAAGTTCTATACAAATTACGAAAGGATAAAGAAATAAAATCAAAGAACAAACTGCTGAATATTGAAAGTTTAAAAATATTTTAAAAGTGGTTAAAGAATTATTTTCCTCTTTATTGATTTGAAAATATACCATTATATACCAATAGCGTAGTATTCTGTTAAAAGTACAATTTAGGTGTTTATATATTTTTAAATACAAATTCTTAAATTTCTTATCCCGCCTTTTGTATAGAGCTAACAAAAATAAACCGTGAAATATATACAGTCATAGGGGTCTATTCTGTAAAAATTCCTTTATATTTAACGGCCTTTAAAAATATTGGCGGCCTTTAAAAGTATATTTGTATTCGTTAATTTACTTCTGTCATTATTTAAACAGATTTCTTTAAGATAGTACTCTAATGTATTTTAAAGACCCGTTTAAATAATGACAGAAGTAAAGAAGAAAATATTTTTAAAGGCCGTTAAATATAAAGGAATTGTTACAGAATAGACCCCATAGTAAATCAAATGAAAAAGGATGGATCGATTAAATGAAACAAGTTGTCGTTAAAAATTCAATCAGACTGGCAACATTTCAGGAGATAGACCATATGTGGGCAACCACCGGTCGCCGGGCCGGATCCGGCCCTCCACCAGCTTTAATCTCGGAAACTGGAAGAAATTAAAACTTTAAAATATATGCATATTCTAGATATTATTGCCTAATTTATTTTGCCAAAATTTAATTTTTTTTTTTTTAATTGCTTTTTAATATATATTATATAAATTATAAGGGAGTGCTGTAATCACCTTAAAGAGCATAGAAAAATTAAAAGAGAAGGTTTGAGTTATAGACGGGAATTGTATCCATATTTATAATTCCCCAGAAGCGGTTGGCGCGCTGCAAGCACTAAATATAAAGCCGTTTTACACCCATAAAAAAGATGTTTTCAAAAATAATAATAAAGAAATCCATAATTTTACTGATGTAACCCTTTAAATTTCACTTAAATACAAAATGTATGGTCAAATGCATTTATAATCGTTAATAAATATAAAGTTAAAGCTAAATTTAAATGTTATAAGATGGTGTAAATCAGGCTTTGATAATAAATAAATAATAAAAAGTTATGTTACCCTAAAATAAAGATATGTCAGCTATTTTCGTGGGAAATGAAAAATGTAGGTGAGTAAAATAAAATTAATATAGTTTAAGTTAGAGTTACGTAATGTATTGATTGCGAAATGTGTGAAATCAATTCTGTACCATCTGTGAATAAGTCGATAAGTCAAAAATTGAAGTTTCCAGTATAGCCATTTTAAACAACATTTTGATATTTTCGAAAAACACAAATTTTATATTGAATTTCGTGTTTTAGAAATAGGTTGTTAATTATAACCTGTGAAATTATATTACTTACTGGAAAAAATCTGACTTGCCTATTTATTGACCCCAAATATGTGTGTTGTTGAGTTACTGACTTATTCTAGTACAAGTAAACGCGACAATTTTTTTTTAATATTTTTAATTATTTATTCATGAAAAGCAAAGTGAACTTAATTCAAATAACATACATTTTGATTGAAATATAAAACTAAAAAACGACTGATCATTTGGATAAACCTCTTCCAAATCTGGGGCTAGCTGTAGTTACCGGTTTTGGCACAAAAAAATGGAGAAATCCAACTATTCACGGCGTCCTCTGAAGTAAACTATTGCGAATTTGAATCACCCATTTATTTACTAGACAGAATGGGAAGAACCCTATAGATATATGTAGACATATCTCATTTTTACTAAAATTTGACTTACCCACTTATTCACGGATGGTACAGAATTTACGAACAGATATTGTAGAACCTCATCATGATTTTGCTCATTTGAAGGAACATAAAAAAAGGGCTTGGAATTATTCCCAAGCAGAAAATTTTCAATTTTTGGGTACCATTCATGATTATATTTATCAAATACTAACCAAATATGGTCATTTAGATATTGTTCAAAAACTAATATATTATATTTACATTAACTTGTTAATTTTGTATGGTTCACAGAGCATTTAATCAGATGTTTTATTTTTATTTTTTTTTGTGTACCTTTTATTGTAAGAAAATATGTTTTAAACATTTAAAAATCTGCTCTAGGTTATTTTTTTATTTTTGTTTTGGTTTAGATATTCCTGAGTTACGCTTCAGTTAAGCAACAAAGGTTGCCCATTAAGGTGGGTCAAAAAAAATTGTTTTCAAATTTTCATAAGTGCTACCAAAGAAAAGTTGTGTATGAGGGAAATAAAAAATATTGTAAAAAAAAATGATAATCGGACTAATTTTAACCGGTCCCGTCGGCCCTCAAAAAGGGCAAAAAAATTATTATTTAAATTTGACGGCGCTAGTGAATAAACTATTCGTTATTGTCCCAATTATTCAAAAAAAATATATATTAAAAACAAAATATTTTTAAACTGGCCCAGGGTCCATAACTTACGCTATAATGCAGAAAATTTCAAATATATTTTTTGACTAGCCCTCGTATATTAATTGATCTCATAATCGGTAGAAGGAGAAGTAGACGTGAGCTAACTTGTTTTACGAAAATTACTGATTACCGGCATTTTATTCAGTTTCAATTCAACATAGACATGGGTAACGCACTAAAATTCTCTGCGTTGATACACTAACTCCGGCGCACTCTATTGCGCCAACTCATTGCGTTAACGCAATTGCGTTATTGCGTCACACCACTGCCTGCGCCGAATGAAGTCGATGCACCTCGGTGTATCGCATGATACCGGTGTTATTCAGCGCGGGCTGTCCTTTTATAAGGGTCAAACCGTGTTCAAGGCAATAACGCAATTGGGAATTTAACTAAATTATATGTTTAAAAATAAACGAAAATATAACAGTGTAATGCACCCATTTTTTATTTCATTGTGTTCGGATTTTACAAAGAATACAAAAATTTCAATTTATATAAAAAGGATATAACTTTTGTATACTAGTAGTTAATCAAAATGGGAAGAACTAAAAACTGACAGTGTACAAGGTTAAAATCCACAAAATTCGACCTACAATCCTACAAAAAATGATGTGACATGTTGCAAAGAACATAATTACTTGATAGATTTTGGGTAATCTACATTACGAGTTGCATCAATTACGTAAATTAAAATTCTCAACTCGTCACGGAAAACGCAATCAGTGCCTGGCGCATGGCACACCAACAACTCGCGATCCTTTCGACTCAATCGAAAATTGCGTTGCGCTGATACAGTAACAGCTGGTGTATCAACGCTCATAACGCATACAACTGCGTTAACGCAATAACGCAACGCAGCGCTGCGTTACCCATGTCTAATTCAACATTTGTTCAGTGCAAACCGCATCATCGTAAAGGCGTTAAAGTGCTATACTTTTTTGATAACGGTGAGATAGTGATTTTTTTAAAGTATTGAATGTAAGACATTTAAACTAGTGGCAATAAACTATAACGTGACGTTGAAAATGGCTAAACCCTTGGTCAAAACTCGGGCAAATCTTTTGTGTCCTCTATTTGGTAGCGCCAAAGACATTCTGCCAGAAGAAAATCAGCTACCAACTTATAAAGATTTGATGAAATGTTATTTAAGCGTGCGAATTGAGTTAAAAGGTAATGGCAGTAAACAACCAGCAAATGCTACAGTTGCAAATATTGTAGCCAGTAAAGTAGAGCATGTATGGAAACGAGCTTCCTTACCAACTTTATCTCGCGAGAGAATAATTAAACTAATTCTTGCATATAATCTGAAATATCAAAATGTTATCGAACCAATAAAAGGGAAAATTTCAAACTTTTTACAAGCTAAGTTGGATAATTTCCATAAAAACTCAACAAAACTGTTTGACATATCAACACATCAACTTGTAAATGTCTTGATTTAGAAAGTTGCTCTTGTGAAAAAAAAAGGAAAGTGCCGAAAGCAGAATGGTCCTTTTTACAAGATCAAAGGTCTTATCGTAAAATGAAAATAGGAGAAGTTGACAAGATTGTAACCAAACAAATACAAAAAAGAGAAGAAAGAAAATTTGGCCATAAAAGGAGTGCCGAAGAGAAAGAGCCAATTCTAAGTACAAGTGGCATTCAAAATAAAACTAAAGAGAAAGAGCCAATACCAAGTACAAGCGGTATTCAAAATAAATCTAAAATGTCTCAAATAGATATGGATACCTGCAATAATTCTTCAACTGAGAGTTTTTCGGACACGGACGAGGAATACAAATGTCCATTTTTGGTGAAACAAAGAAGAATTGTTACACCCAAATTTCAGCAAATGCGGTGCAGCCTAACTCAAACAGCAAAAATGGGTGACTTGACCGACACATCTTATAGGGCAGTAGCTAAAATTGTTAATTCCGTTTTAGAAGATTTTAACATTATTTCGAAAGATGATCAGTCGGACGTAATTGATAAAAGCAAAATAAGTCGAGAACTAAGCAAAAACCGATAAAAGCTTCAACAACAACAAGAAAACAAAGACATAAGAGGACTATACTTTGACGGGAGAAAGGACCAAACAATTTGTATTAAAAACAGCGTAAAGATAACCCAACAAGAAGAACACATTACAATTATTAAAGAACCTGGTAATATTTACTTTTCCCATGTATCTATAAAGGGCTCTGCTACCGCAGCAAATATAAAGGATGAACTGTTTCAATGCTTCAATAAGTATCATACAGATATCAGTGATTTAACCGTGGTAGGTTGTGATGGTACAAATGTAAATACTGGGTGGAAGGGAGGTATCATTCGATTAATTAAAAGGCCCCTTCAATGATGCATTTGTCTGCTCCATGCCAATGAGCTACCTTTGAGGCACTTATTGCAAAGTCTAGATGGAGATACCAAAGGACCTTACAGCTTTTCGGGACCAATTGGGGCTCTTTTAAAATTGGTTAAAATTTGATAAAAAAGTCTAAGAATACCTCAAGACAACTTTTTCAGAGTAGGCCAGAGTAGCATAGTTTCGTTAACAATAATTTCTCTATAAAAAAAAACATTAAATACTCAGTTTCAAAATTTGTTCGCAATTATAACTATAATTGGCTTTTTATACAAACATCTTCACTTCATAGTTAAATGGGGTTTCCATAGCGCTAAGCAAAGAGCCGAAGTGTGCTGCAACAGCTAATTCATTTTATGAAAACCACTTTGCTATCACATAATTTGTTAATATAGTTTATATACATATATTATGTTAAAGCTATTGAGTAAATTAACTAATTAGCTGCTGTTCTTAGTTGCCATGAAATTTGATGGCAAGATAAATATATATTTTGTATTTACGAGTGAGTATAACCATTTGTTTGTCTTTGCGCTGTAATGACTTAAATCTTTAATTTTAGTTGTTTTATGTAAGTACCTTTTTTTCATTGGTATTGCAACTTCAACCTTTAGAGTTTGAGCAGTGCAGCGTTGGAAAAGTACAAATTAAATTTTAGTTTAACAAAAAACCACATCACAAAATCAAGCTGGTAAATTTCCAGCAAACAGATAGATAATTTACTTTTTAATCAAGATATTCTAATTTTCCAATTTGTAACTGCTCGCGAGCGCAATCTGAATAAGTAGTTAAATTTTCCATTCGTTGAGATAGACCCAAAATCGCAGTATTCTATGCCAATTTTTCTCCATTATCTGATCGATATTTTTTTTTATTTTCCACAAGACGGATTGACCAATCACTGTATGTTCATTGCCTGATTGTTTGTTATTATTCAATCGAAACGATGGTTGGCCGTGCACCGCACCGAGATAGAACGTCAACCGTTTGAATAATACAGTAGAAAAGCCGACCACTTAATTTCGATTTGTGTGCCACTGTCACAGTAATTGAACATTTCGCACAATGTGCTTCCAGGCCGATCTCTAGCAGCTTTCAGGTGATTTGGGTTTGAGTATTAAGTTAAAACGACACTGGCAGATGGATCAGAGAATTTTTCTTAATTTAGATATTTACAAGAAACGTTGAGAGTATCGTAAATGACTAAAGTTTTATCACAAATTAAAGTTTTAAACTAAATTGAATAAAAGAGTCAACGTTTCTCAATAATACGAACGTCTCGGAATATTGCTTGTTAATTTTTTGGAAATTTTATATGAATCCTACGCCTCAGCTATTCCTAATTTTCGGCTCCATAATACATGTTTAACTTCGATCACTTGTAAATTCAATCATATGCGATTTCGATCTTTTTTGGTTTCAATCTTCTCTCACTTTCGATCATTTTTCCGCTCACTACAAAATTTCCGTAAACCCGAAAACAACGTAGGTAACTTCTTTTTTGAATAAATTTTTTGTCGAATGCAGATAAATTGAGAGGTTGATAAGTGAATCAGATGAGGATCAACTATCGCAAAATGAGGTAACCCAATCTTAAATCGTGTCACCCAAATTAGGATAATGCCGTATTCAATTGCCCCTTAGCAGGTCTAATTAGAACACATGTTTCAAAGTGTTTTCCCGACTCAATAGAGGTAGAAGAAGATTGGCGGAATACGAGAGACAGCAACAAAATAAAAATGTTCGGATTCTCCCAGTTGACTGTTAGTCTTGATTGGCAATTTGAGCGAATAGGAATTGGCGAAGTACATGAAGTGTTTTTCTGCAGATGACCGAATGTTTACCGGTTTACGAAAATTAGGTCGACCGTAATCGGACGATTCATTTTAAAATCTCACTTAAGAAAATTATCATAAAACAGGTATAAAAAAATATTTTTATTTTTGAATTTTTAATTCTTTTATTATAATAAATAACCGCATAAATTCATTATTACAGTCAAATTATTAGAGTTGTAACGGTTTTAATCCAGCGTTAAGACTATAGTATAGGTTTTGTTCGCCCAAGTATTTTTTTACCTATATTTGCTTAAAATAAAACTTATCCGACTAGTCAAAGTTTTCATGCATTCAGGTTTCACCTTGTAATCACTGTACACATTCACACAACACACATTTATATTATCCAGTTCTCAGAGTTTGAAATTATAAAGATTTTATACTTAATATAATATTTTTACGAGAATTAAAATATCTTCACCACAAATAGGCAAAGGTAAACTCGTTTTATGATACCTTCTTTGTGCAAATTGTAATATTTATGCTAAAATTTACCTTTAATATCAATCCTTGTTGTGGTAATTTTCACAAGCACTCGACACCAATCTTTGTGGTAAATAAACTTTACAAACAGCACATTTCGTTAACTGAATCATGATTTAATTGTCGTGAATATTCTTATTAATTTTCACTAGCACTGACCTCAATTTATACATGTTTAGATCAGTTTTATATTCGTCGAACATTAAATGTCAAATAAATGGGGTTATATTTGTATTTGTGAGTTACTGCTGGACAGCTGTCAGATCATAGATAAGTACTACAGAGAGTGGTAAAGTCGTTTACTGTTCCTTGAGTATATTTTGACGTTTTATTGTCTAGGATTTCTATTGGATAATACAGGGATACCAGCATGATACAGTTAGTTTTATTTTCGAAATCTGCGACACAGGAGTGTTATTCGTGAATCGTATTTGTTCGAGAGTGACAATTGGCTGAAAGGTTTTATGCCGAGAAAAACGAAGCGACACGTGTTCTTTTTCTGAGAAGTAATGATGACTTGAACTAAAAATTCGTGAAGTGGAGCTTTTCTAGTTTTTGTGATTTTATGGAATCATCCCATGTCTTGGAGTGTTAGAAAAGTATCTTATTATTTTAAGAAGCACTAATGGTAAAATTGAATCGTGTTAACGTGGATTTGAGCCCGTTATTTTGGTGATTGTAGTACCGGCTTTCTTAACTCGTAGTCGAGGAGAATTGGATTTGAAGTTCAGCCCATTAGTAGATGTATTAGCAGTCTCATATTGAAGCCCGAGCGTAGTGCAGACCGTATATTGAAGGGCACACTGATTTTAAGAAGGTTTTAGCAGATTTCTCTGCGTTTTGATTGAAGTGTTTGGACCCGGTTTATGCGACCAGTTTTTGGACCCAGTACTTGAATTTGGTGTTTGGAACCAGCGTTTCGACTCGGAATTGCTGTAACTACAGAGTTTTGGCATCGTACGACTACAGTGCTACAGGCTGCATCTCTTGCCTGTCGACTTCAGGGACTAGAGGAGATAAGTGAAACAAGATTTTATTTGTATTTACTTTGGGGTATGGTTTTGGGGTAATATTTAGCCAACGACTGATACGTAGATGTATATAATAGCAATTATTAATAATTAAGTCAAATAGAACAATGCGTGAGCATCAACTAACACTATAGCACTCAAGGCGACCCATTTCGTTCTGTCTGGAAGAGTGCATTATATTACAAAAATTTGTTTACCTGCTAACATATATGTATATTTTCTGATTTTATAAGACGTTAGATTGATATTTATATGCTACTTCATGTGCTCTTAAGGGCCCATGACGTTTATTAAATTTAAGTATAGTTCATATTATACATTAAGGGAATTGGGTATTTTACCTTAAGATGATGTTTATTAGAAATTGTTTATTAATAGTAATATTTTAGATTATAAGTCTCTGGGTATTTAAATCTGTTTATACAGAAACTAAAGAATTTTTATAACTAGTTGCGGTTAACTTTTCTTTTGGTTGCGCCTGAAACGTCTTTCGCCTTGGATCCAACGCTAATGACCGTGAGGTATTAACTGATAATTTTACTAGGGTTCATTGAACCAACCCTGTTAGTTTCTGTAACTGCTAAGGCATTACATATATTGTTAATAATTTTGGGGTTAATACAGGCCTATACATAAAATGTAAGTAGGGTAGTGTATTCATTTGTTGATACGAATTACAATATTTATACAGGGATTGTTATTTTTAATTTGTAAATAAATAAGATCTAAGTTAAGGTTTTCTTTTTATTTCCTATTTATTTGGCAGATTTAAAAAAGGACCTTTCTGGATTTAAAAAGGCTCAATATTAAAGATCTACCTGGCGTCCAACCCAACATCAAAACTATAGTATTTTTCCCAGATTACAAAGTAATCACCCACTTCCATCTCCACTAGAGTGAATAGGAGCCACAAGGTTGACATCTGGGACAACCGAACTTTTGTATCACGTTAATCTGACGTTACACCGTATGCAGATTCATTAAAAAGTTCACTGTTTCCTATAAAACGTTTTTATCACTTAATCTAGTTGTTAATGTATGCAATGTTTAAATACTTTATGCATGGCTATAAAAATCATTAATAATATCGTTAAAGACTCGTAAAGTTCAGGAACTCTATGCGATCTTTAAAATATTTACACTAATCGTCCTTTTACAATGATGAAAGTTTAAATGCACCTAAGCGTTTTTCTCAAACTATTAAGATTTCACGATCAATATACTACAGTGTAATAAAATAAACAAAATTGTAATCAAAATAAATCATTCAAATTTAAAATTCAAATAAAATAAGTTATTAATGGCACCTAAT